GAAGTCTGATCAATGTATTTAGTATTGGAAGTGCAGATCCCCCAGCCAGGAGTTTGGGATCGGATAGGACTTGGCAAGATTTGGGCACAATTGTGGCCTTGCCAGCAGAGTAAAATAGGGTACTGTGAGTCTGGACACACAGTGAGAAAAGTTCAGTGAATGACCACCTTGGTCACTTGGAATAGAGTTTACTGAAGGGGTCCAGGGGCTGCTCTGATGGGAGGGTGCTAGGATGGGGTGGGTTGGGGTCTTCTGGTGATACTCAAGAGTTTAACAGAAGAGCACAATACAGTACAGGCACCCCTTGCCTAGCGACTGAGTTAGGGTCCTGTGACCAGCTTGTTACTGAGTTAGGGTCCTGTAACTGCTTGTTACTGAGTTAGGGTCCTGTTAGCTTGTTACTGAGCTAGTTGCTAAACAGGAAACTTCATGCCTATAGTATGTACATTGCCATATTCAGAATAAAGGAATTCTCAAAGGAAACTCCAGCCTGATGGCTTTGCTTTTGTTGTATAACTCTTACATGCAGTACTGTAATGTATAACAGATCATAAAACCACAGTACTGTGCTATACAGTACAATCAGTGAAAAATATGAGTAACAAGGTATCCTGTGCAAAAAGAGGTGCAGAGACTGTAAACAAGATATACAGAACTGGACCAAGAAAAGATGGGTCTTAAGTCTGAAGAGTCATAGGTGGGTATAAAATGAAAAATATCTGCATAGAGCTCTAAAAATTAAAATCTTTTATGAGACCAACATCTAAGCTTCCAAAACTCAATGAGGAAATAAGTCTTCACCTTTGTGTTCTTGGCTGACTTCATTTCGCATGACGTCCTCCTGTTCTGTCCATGTTGCTGCAAATGGCAGGATCTTGTTATTTTTCATGGCTCGGTAATATTACTCCATGTGTATACACATCCTGTGTTCTCTATCCTTTCACCTTTTCACAGATTCCTTAATGGAGCCCATGTTTTAGCTGTTGCAAGTAGTGCTGCATGGGCATAGGACTTCAGCCGCATCTTACAAAGAATTATTTCATTTCTTTGTGAGCATCTGTTGTAGCAGGGGTTGTGAGGAGAATAATTAGAATCAGGACACAGAATTTATAATATTATAATGGTCACCCAGAGTTAACACAAGAAAGTGCAGGAAATCTGCCCACAACACTAAAGATATAGTATATTCAGCCAAGGGCCCAGATCCCACAGCAATGTTCCGTATGAGTCCAGATGAAGACCCAGAGCTCATGACAATGCCTCCCATCAGTCCAACTGGAGGCCAAGAGCCCATGAGAAGTCTCTCTTATGTCACACCAGTCTCTTTTATGGATCCGTGCTGGGAAAGCCCAAGGGTCAGTGGTGGAAGCTATAAAGTCTGTGCCAGCGGGGTGAAGGAGCTGTGCTGGTAGGTTGAGGGTTCTATGCTGGAGCCAAGAAGTCATGCTCAAAATAAGGACCAGGGCTGTCCTGAAAAGCACCACAGCCATCCTCAGCAATATGGAGGTCCCAACTTCCTCCAACAATAAGAACAGTCGAGTACATGCCAGGAAGCCAGCATGATGATTTCATCCTGGAGATTAAGCAGCACACGTCTTCCTCTCTATAGTCAGGAAGTGATGCTCAATGTAAGGACCAGAGCTCCTCCAAAGTGAACCACAGCTGCTCTCACCAACAAGGTCCAGAGCTCCTCTGATGACAATGGTCGAACTCGCACTGGGGAAGCTAGCCATGGCGAGCTCCTCCAGGAGAACCAGTGGCTCAAAACAGCAGCACTTAGAGAAACCCACAATGCCTAGCTCTTTCTTCTCCATGTCTCTATTTATGCTGGCAACTTTGCTCAGGTGGAACATCCCCACTCTGCACCATGCTGATTTAATCTAGCTGGTGTTAAGTTGACCCCCAGTTTTTAAACCATAACAGCATCCTTTTTCCATGTGGGTCACACCAGGGCCTTTGCACTGGGCTACATTAGAGACAAGAAAGAGAGCTGGGTCAGGGGGAGACAAAGTGAAGTTCCATGACAGGGACTGAAGCACAGTCAGTAACTCTTTTCTGAGTTGGTCTCATAAAGATGTGCTTGAGTGACACACTGGAGATGGTACTTTAGTTTTTTTATTTTTATTTTTTGGTAGCAGGAATTGAACTCACAACCTCATGCTTGCTAGCAGGTGTTTATGCCACTGTGCTAAACCTGAAGCTAAGCCTGAAACAGAGTTAGGTGGGGAGAACTAATTCTCATGTTCTGTAGCACAGCCAGGAACTATGGTCTGCAACAGGCCATGAGCTGCTTCAAAATAACTAGCAAATAAGAGTCAAAATTTCCCAATATGTCAGGTGATAATTATTTGAAGAGATGAGAATGCTATTATCCTGATTTGAACATTACATATTGCATACATGTATCAAATTATTTTACCATGGCCAATAAATATGTGCCAGAATTCCATTAAATTTTTTTTTTTTTTGGTACCAGGGATTGAACTCATGACCTTGCACTTGCCAGGCAGGTGCTTAGGCCATTGAGCTAAATCCCCAGCCCTCCATTAAAATTTTTAAAAAGAGGAAAATAAAATCTTATGTTTCTGATAACCAAGTCAACTGCAAGATTAATGATGCAGAAGAGAAAGGTCCTAAACAGGGAAAGAAATTTACTATATGACAATGGTGATGTTTAAAAATCAGTAGGCTAGTGGAGCTAGACGCCCACTGATTACCACCAAGAGCTTTGGGCAGAGGAAAAAGCAACCACCCAGGTGAGGTGGCAGGTGCCTGGGGTAGAAGGGAGGCTCTGCCCACCTTTCTGGGCTGGATCAAGGCTTCAGGTAACCTAGGAAACACTGAGAAAGAAGAGAAGACACTGTTTCAGAGCCTGTATTTACTGAGGTAAATACTAGCCCAGAACCAAGACAGCAAGATCTAAGTGCAATGGAAAGGGTGACCAGGGAGGGGACTTCACACACAAACAGTGAGTCCCAGGCCTGTGCCTCTGATTCTTGGCTGCCCCCAGCCCCAGTGGCTAGGTCACTGACTGCAGATTTGACTTCCTGTGGGTGTGGACCTCACCAGAGTTCCTCCAGGGGCCACAGATGGTCAAAGACTCCATCGCCTTAGGGAGGAGCTGAGCTAGGAGGCTCACTGTTGGCTCCCACCCTGCCGAGAGGCTCTTGTCTTTTCCTTTCACATAAATCATTGCTCCTGCTGTTACTCCTGGGCGTCCTGCTCAGTTGTTTGCTTAGTACACCAGGAAATTGGACAACACCCCGGTCCAGTGACACAGGGACTCTGCAAAGGGGTGACGAAAGTGCGTAAGATGGGGACAGGGAACTCAAGATGTGGAGAAAGACCCGTGTAGGGGTGAGAGGTCCTCCACTGCCTTCCAGCTTTGATCCGAGGCCAGACTGAAAGCAACGCTGCCAAACAGTCACCACTGCTACCAAACAGTCTGGCCAGAGGACCAGACCTCAGCGCCTCCACAGGACCAGGGAGCTAGAGCAGGGCGCAAGCCTCGGTGGTTCCCCTCTCCTTCCCTGCCAAGGCCACACCGCCCTCTGGAGCAGCCCTGCAATGTCCAGAGACAGGAACCCCAAGACCCTGGGAGGCAGTTTGTCCTTCTAGACGCAGGAACCGGAAAGGGGCTTCCGTGAGCCAATGTGGAGAGCAAGTCCCCCAAGGAGAGAGGTGGAGAAAACAATTCTTAACCCTCGCAGGGATGGTTAAGTCACAAAGGTAATTAGTGTAGTTGGGACAGGACAGAAGGCCCTGCCAATCCTCAAAAGGTATTTTTTATTTATTCCTTCCCCATCCTCCACCCCGGCCCCATGGCTGTGTCCAGTGCCGGCATCCGGCCACCACCACATCACACCACTCCTCTGCAGTTGTCCCCAGCAGGTCCGCAGGAGACCCTCTCCTCCAGGATGGAGCGATAGTCTAACAGTGCGCATGCGTGAGCCTGCCTCTCCTCTGACGCATGGGAGCTCGCAGTACCAACCCCCTGCTGTGGCAACCAGCTAGAGCCTCCTGGGCGTGGTCCATGCGTTGCCCATTCGTTATTTCCAGTTTGATTAGAGCAGGCGGAGCTGCAGACACTAAGATCTGGTAACACTAAAGGTGGCTTGTCAGTGACCCCGGAGCCAGGTGGCCCCCGGGGAGCCTCTGAGAGCCGCAGGGCTGCCACCTGCAGTCAGTCCCCTCCCCATCCGGGGAGTTCCGCGGCGTGCTGTAGCTGTTGACATTTAAAGCTCGGAACTGCTAACACTAGAGAGGGCTGTAGAACTCATTTCTACCCAAACTGAGCAGAAGAATCCGCGGCCAAGTGGTGACACAGAAACCCAGGTCGTAAACCCAGCCTGCCTTCGGTGATGGCCAGCACTGCGGGCTCCTCAGAGGTTCTGCTTACTGTGGAGGTTAAACAGGAGAGGGATTTTCCGCAGCTCCATTTATTTCTTTTGTATTTTGCAGCCAGGTGCAGATAATGCTACACCTGAGCTGTGAGCTCAGGTACGGGGTACCCTTGTGGTGTCCACAGATAGCCAGGGTCAGGAATATTCTGTCCTGGTGCTCAGAAGAGGACAGCTGCGTAGTCCCCGCTGACGAGGGTGTCACAGCCACTGGAGACCCGACCTGCAAGGTGGAGGAGACAGAGGGCCGGATCTTGGGAGATGGCCCTTGGGAGATGGCAAGGGAGCGCTGTGAGCAGGTCTGGTCCCTCTGGCGCCTAGATCCGCGCGGCGCGTCAGTCCGGACCTTCTACTGCGCGGGTGACCACTGCACGGCCCCGCCCCACCAGGCCCCGCCCCAAGTAGCCACGCAAGGCCCCGCCCCCTCCGGCACGGCCCCCGCCCCCTGGCACGAGGACTCAATGCCCCGCCCCCAGGGCGTGGCGATGCGAAGACACGCCCCAATCAATGCCACTTCCTCCTGACGGCTCAGGGCCTCGCCCTTCCCCGCGTTGATCCGCCAAACCTGATGGCTCAAGGCCCCGCCCCTAGGGCGTGACAGCGCTGGCCCTGCCCCTTTCCCCGCCTCTGCCGAGTTCGTCTGCTTTCCACCGGGTCTCGCGCTCCACGCTCACCGGAAGACAGCGGCCCGCGGCGGCGGTGAGTGGGTGAGCAGTGGGCAGGCCGGCATACCGGCGCGGTGTCTAGTGCGGGTGCGGGTGTGGTCCCGGCTGCCTGCGGGCCCGGGCCAGCTCAGCCCTGCGGTTCCCGACGTGGACCGGGCTGTGCGGTTCCGGAGTGGCCGCAGCTGCAGGCCGAGGACTTGCGTGGAGGTGGGGTCCCCACTGGGACACGTGAGCTCCGCGCCTGCCGGGATGAGCCCACCCAGCCTTCGGGCCGACAGGGGGCTCGCTCTTAAGTTCAGCCGGTTTTAAGTTCCCTGCCGCGTGGCCCCTCAGGCTGAACGCTGAGAAAGTGGGGTGCGGTTTTGTCCCTGCCCACGCGAGGCCCGGGCACACGGGGAGCGGCCGACCCGGTGCCTGATCATTGACCGTGCCGGACGGGCTCGGAGGCCGTGCTCTGTCCCGCGAAGGTCCGCGGAGATAGAGCCCAGGAAGGGGGCGGGGAGCTCTGCAAACCCGTGAAACTTGTGTGGGAAACCTGGGGCACCGAGACAAGGTTAAAGATGAAAATGTAAACATTCTTTAAGTCTACCGCCTCAATGAGCATTTGGATGCATTTCATCCTAATATTTATATTTTCTTGTGTATTTTTTTCCCGCGGGTCCAAGCCCCAAAGCTGCACAGCCTCTGGTTCCCTGAGGCAGGTGAAAGAAGACGGGTTTTACATATTCTTTCATTAGGGTAACATCTTCTAGTGTTATCTTAGTTCTGGTATTATCTTACTTTCTAGTGTTATTTTACTTTCTAACTTACTTTCTGTTATTTTAGTTTCTGTCTCACTTAACATTTTCTCACTTAGCAAAAATTCATAAACTTTTTTTTGTTTCTGTTTTTTTCTCTTGGTAACAAGGATTAAACCCAAGATCTTCACACTAAATTGTATCTTCAACCCTTTCTAAAGTTTTTGAGGCAGCATCTTACATAATTAATTGTCCAGGTTGGACTCAAACTTTGATCTTCCTGCTTCAGCCTCCCAGAGTGCTGGGAGGATAGATGTGCACCACCACACCTGGTTTAAATAGTTTTTGATCATTCATCACATGGGTCAGTTTTGTATCAGACTAGAATTTTTTCTGGGTGTCTATTGCTGTGTTTGGCCATAGAATCTGGTATTGCTCAAGGCATATATGTTTGCTGGAGGCTTAGATAACAGCCCCAGTATACTTCGTTAGCATACTCCACATCACTGGACGTCTCAGTTGTCTCTAGTTTTGCTTTTCTAAAATGTAAGGCCTTTCTTTTTGAAAGCTACTAGCTTTGAATGTGTAGTGTCATAATGTGAATTGAAAGTTGTTGTTTTTATTTTAGCTGAGTTTTTATGCATATGTGTTAGAGCAAAATAGAGAATCGGAGGGAAAGGGATATTTAAAATTTTTGACTTTGAAATAATTAGATTGAGTTCCCTTATGCCCAGCACACAACTTCTCCAAAGGCAAACATCTGATGTAACCACGGTGCCACGATTGAGACTGGAATTTACCATGATGCTATTCTGTTAAGTAACCTGCAAGCGTTATTTGGATTTTACCAATTGTCCTGCTGAGGTGTAGGGTCCTGGTCAGGGTCCTGCATGGCATTTAGTTGTCCCATGTGTTTCGTGGCTTTGCATCTGGGCAGCTCCTAAGCAAGATGACAGGGTACAGGAAAGCAGGTCTGTTAAAACAGCCACATCTCCCCTCAACGCATGCCCTGAACCCCATGCTTCGGAAGGGGACGTTCCTTCTTTTCCTGTGTGAGTAGATCACGTAGCCCACCAATGAGTTTTATATACCATCTCCAGATCTTCAAGCTGCAGAACAGGAGAGACCCAGGTAACTCATAATCTGACCATGGGAATCTCTTCAAAGCATTGTGCCAAATGGCAACTCCTGTCTTAATGACCTTGGATAGTGTGACCAACATGTCCCAGTTTGAAAACTGAAAATCTGTTTCTGGAGAACTCATTCAGTCCCGGACATCCTGGAACATTTGTACTAAGAAATCACAGACTATTTCAGATGTTATTCCGGAAACAAGGAGCAAACCCTGGGGTGCAGGCAGAAGGCACGAGGGAGAGGGGGTAGTAAGCCTCCCTCTCAGCAGAGCCCGGTAGCTGCGCCAGGGAGGCCGGGGTCTGGCCTGTGGTAGCCCTAGCGTCTGCCTGCCGTCGACCTCCTCTGGCCTCCCCTGGTCTCAGGGACACTGAGGTGTCAGGTCCCAGACTCAGTGTGGTGGCTGTGTGCGGGGCAGTCTTCCACACTCAGGTCTGCTCATTGCTCTGCACCCCTGCCCAGACCTTCAGGAGGGTCCTAGTCTGTCTGAAGGAGGTATGGGATGCTGCTGTGGAGTACATTGTGTCCTGGGCCTCTGCAAGTATCCTGGCCTTTTCCAGTCCTGGCCCGGAAGTCACCACCTTTGTGCTGAGAAAGTCAGCATGACCAGTGAGCTTTCAGTTTCTCCTCCTGAACACTATCTATTCTGCATCATCATAGAGAGTGCCTGTTATTTGACTTCCTGATTCTCCCTGAGTCTGAAAAAGGTGATTGTTAAAGAAATCTTTATGCATTTCCTGTATTAGCATCAGGATTTTTGATAACACCATTTTAACTCAAACTGAGGAAGAGTGTAATCACCCTACTGAAAGCTTTGTTACTTTTCCTGTTCCTTGATAAATAACTCCCCACCCTACAGTCCTTCTGTGGTGGAGCTGGAGGTATCTTTCTCTGCATTTTGACCTCCATGGCCAAGATTTCCCTGTGTGGGCCTTGATCCAGTGGCTCACCAGAATCTTGATCCAGAAGCCACCAGAATCTCTGGGCCTCTACGATTTGGTGCAAGGTGAAGTGGAGAGAAATTTGAGAATGTATCCTCTTGCTCCCACACCCTGGGGCCTCTCAGGCGTCTGGTTGCCTTGTGCCTTGTGGTCACTGTCTCCTCCATGCTGGCTGAGGTCCTGACCAGAGGGGGGATGGGCTGGGTAGGAGATGCCACACTGCCATACCCAGGAGGTCAGCACATCCAGTCATCCCTTACTGGACACTGGTGGGCCAGCCACACCTGCCACCTTCCTCTCCCCGGCTCGGTGCAGTATCTCAGTTCTACTTTTTGTCCAGTGTGTGTGGCAGCAGTAGAGCAGACTCCCCTTGAGACCCTCTGATGACAGTGGGCTGCAGAGCTCAGTTGAGGCCAAGTCTGCCGTGAGACTTCTGCTTTCCGCCTTCACATGTGCTGTTCATGCCACAGGGGAGAAGTGGGCCTGATCTCCTGGCCAGGGAATACTAGAGGAGAATCCGTGATGCGCACCTCCTGCTGCGTGTAGAACTCAGAGGGGCAAGTGCTCCCTGAAATAGGGCACCCCACGGGTCCCTAGAGGAGAAAATGTGCTAGGGGACTGAAGTCTCCTGGGCAGAGGACAGCCCCACACCCCTTCTCCCCCAGGCAGGGTGACAAGACAGGAAGAAGGGAGTTTGCTGTTAGGCATCTCCACAGATGACAGGGTCGTGGAGCAGCTGACCATGGTTCCAGAGGAGCAGAGCAGGCAGCATGGTGCTGTGGGCAGTATCTTCACCTCCAATAGCATCTTCTGTCTCAGGGCTTCCTGGCCCAGCAGACAGGAGCTTTCCCTCCTGCTGTGGTTCACGGCTCAGAGCGTATTCCAGGTGATTCCAGCACAGATGTTGGTCTTGGAATTGTTATTGAATGCAGACCTACAGGACACAGTTGGAGGAAGCCAGCAGTACTTCTGACGATGTGAATCCCCTCTTCCCATCAGACCCCAACTCCTGATAGCAAGTCATCCATAAGTCCATAATCCAATCAATTTCAAAGGTCTCACCCCTGACCCCAGGAGGCCTAGGGGGACATGTAAATACAAACCATAACATCCTTTTCTAACCTGCAGTTTGCTCATTAGTAGGATGAAAGTGTTAAATTTCCTTCTATAAGGTATTGATAGGAAAATTGAGTTAATTCTATTAAAAGGTGTACCCCAGAGCTTCATGTGTACTAAATCCCTAGCAAATGATAGCTGGTATCACTGATATTAATAGGTATCTATTTCACGTAATTATGTGAGGTTATGCGTTGTTTTTCTGATAGCAGTTAATAACTGTGGTTGGATCTGTAGCCTAGTATTAATGATTCTGTCACATTGTACTATAGTTTATTTGCCAGTCTCCTGTGGACTTTTAGTCATTTTTGTTGTTTCTTTGCTATGACCACATAAATAAATTTAGTAAACTATCTGTAATGAACTTCTGTTTCATGTTTGGTTTAATTATTTTTTGAGATCGAGTCTATAAATAAAGCTATAGTGAACTATGTATATTTTGTTTAATTTTCTTCTTGGGAGAAACTCATACAAATAACCATGTGATGTGAAAGGTTATACTTTTTAACATTTAATATTATTTTTCACATTGTTAGTCTACTTTCTGGAGAGGTGACATCAAATTATAGTATCTGTCAACGATGTGTGAAAATGCCTGCCCAGTTTCCCAAACATATGCCCCAATTGGGTTCTTTCTATCTTTTATTTTTGGCAAATCTGAAAGCAGAAAAGTATCTTGCCACTTTGATTTGTTTCAGTAGTGAATTTAAATATCTTTTCAGATGTGCATTGGCATATCGGTTCTTTTGGGAGTTGTGTTTTCACTGTTTTTGTTGTCTATTTGTAAGAACTCTTTGTATGCCAGGGATAGTGCCATTGTCCTTCCTAGATATTGGTAAGGCTATGTCTTGCATGATGAATGACACACGGTATCTTGAATAATAGTGTCATTTAGCAAATGCTTTTTATGAGTTTCTAGATCATGCTCATATCATGTTGCAAAAGGGGACCTGCTTTTTGTGTCTCAGCGAAATTGTTTTATGACCTGGTAATTAGTAAGGTGGACTTTTAATGACTTGCGTTAGTGCATACGTGTTGAGAGCTGACCTTTGATGCATGACGCATGCCCTGATATGTCAGTGTCTCCTCTTGTTATTTCCAATCTTGCTGTTTCTCTACTCAAAGTTATTCTTGCAGGCTGGGAACCCTGGAGTTATCTGTGTATCTGTAATGGACTGGAGGCTATATGGCTGTCAGTCTTTCCGCTGAGACAGTGCCCTTTGAGGCTCTTCTGCTCCCAGGTTCCTGCTGCTGCACTTACCCTGTGTATCAGAGTGACCTTGTGTATGCCTGCTGTCGCTTTTGCACAGAGGGCTCCTCAGATGGAAGGCCAGACTTTACTACTTTTGCTTACTCATTTGTCTGTAGATTCCTTCCTGACCTGGCTCATGGGAAGCACATGATACATGTGTCTCCAATTTAGTATTTCCACCTTGAGGGTGATGCAGCTAAGGCTCTGGAGTCACCTGGTAGATTACTACTAGCTATGCGGGTGGGTGTGATAGTCTTATTATGGAACAGTTCAGTTGTGCAGGGCAGTTAGGAGAGTGCCATGCAGAATGCCGTGTTGTCACCCTGTAGGTTTACCTGTTGAAATCCATGCCTCTGACACACACTCCTCTCTCTGGGGACCTACGGGGCCTCATGACTGGCCATCGACTCCAATGTACCTGATAGCGTTTGCTACTCCTTTTGTAGTCAGGGTTTCACCATGCGGTTCCCTGAACTCACTCTGTAGCCCAGGCAGCAGTTCTCCTGTCTTACCCTCCTGAGTGCTGGGATCACAGGTTGCATTTGTTATTCTTTTTTTTTTTTTTTTTTTTTTGTCTTTTCCCTTTTTATCAGTACTGGGGATTGAACTCATGACTGCCTGCTTGCAAGGCAGGCGCTTATGCCACTGAGCTAAATCCCCAGCCCCACATTTGTTATTCTTAAGTGATGACACTTTATAAAATGGTACATATGTCTCTCCTCTGGTCAGCTTGGTCTTCTTATTGTCCTTTTCACATGCTGCCTAGTTCTTCTTCATGGATGTCTTACGTTTTTCCTTATACAGAACATGGTTCCCCCTTTATTGAGCTAGAACATTTGTTCACGGTCTGTTCTCACCACCTTACAGTTGTTAGTGTGGATGTGAGCACCACCTCTTGTGCTGGAGTGATTCCTGCCTGGAACCTTGCATGTTGGTAATGAGCTTGGCCAGGGTGACAGTAAACAGATTGTGTTGCACTGAGTGAGAAACACCCACCTAAACTGGTGAGCGTCACTCTGGGTGTGGCTGAGGGATTTACTGAAGACAGAAGAGCCGCTCTGGGTGTGAGTGATAGCAGCTAACAGGCCTGCAGCCTGAATGGAGTAGAGGGAATGAAGAAGGGAGCTCGCTTCTGCAGCTTCAGAGAAGCTCCAGTCTGCACTTCACCGTGGACACCAGGGTCTGGCTTCCGGCACAGACCTTTGGCCTGTTGGGACTTGCAGGGGACACTACATGAGTTCCAGGCCTTCGACAGGGTCCTGTATTTCTCCGGTGCACAGACAGTGCCTCTGCGCACTTCCACACCGGACTCTGTGGGAGGCCAGTGTAAATCAGTCTTGTAAATTCTTTTTTTATTTTTCTTATTTTGAAGAGAATAAAGCGACACAGTGAAATGGAACAAAACAAAACAGTGAGAACAATATAGAATCCGGAAAAAAGCATGGAAGGAAACCGCCCGTAGTTTCAGTAATGCAGATTGTTATCCTCTAAACAGACACTTAGACTACTGGCCCCAGGTCTCAGAGTCAGTCAGTGAATACAAACATTAAGTTTGTTTTGTACCTCAGTTGCTATCATCTCAGCCTGTGTTCCTTCAGATCAGCCCGTTGTCCAGAGGGCAGGGTGGTGGTGGGGCTCTCCTTGTCTCTGGGATGTCCCATGGGAAAGGCAGGCCAGTTTCTTGGTTCTTTTCCCAGCTCATGGCCCCCAATCTTCTAAATTCTTATGTATTTGTATATCTTGCATTAAATCTGTTTCTCTAGTAAGCACCAAGTGAAACAGCAGGTGTCTTTAGTATTCCTGGTACATTCATGGTACAGTGTGAATCCAACATTGATTTATTTTATTATTACTTTTTACAAAGCACCATTTTTTTGATCACTTTTCTGAAAACACACAACTGTGAGAAGAGAAAACTTCTGAGACTCACTAGCCCTGGCAGGACAGAGAGATGCCCTGGACGAAGAGCCTGAAAGTGGCTGTACCGAATGTGTGGCTTCCTCATCACTCTGGCTACACATTTTGTTACCTCTGATAATGGAAAAGAAACTGGCTAGAAGATCCATGTACAAGAAGGTCACAACAGTTTTAAGGCTATCAGTATTATCCGCTTGTATGTTCTGGTTCTAGTTTGTAATTCTGAGATACAGTATCAACTAAGCACCATCAAATACCTGCTCCCAGCCAAGCACACTCTCTTAGCCTTTGAAGTTACCTTTGGGACTCTATATTCTTTCATTGCACCTTCTGTTTATCCCAGAGCGTGAATTCTAAACCCATGTGCGGTCTCCATGTTCCAGTATAAAAGTTTGTTTCAGCATCACGTTAAGATGCTGTAATGTCTATAATTCTGCGGTGTCTACTGGATGTCACACCTTTGGACATGCTGGTCAAATTGAGGCCCAGAGCAGGGACCCAGGAACAACTTTCTCACTGCCGTTCCCTGTTCAATCTGGACAGTGCAACATGGTCAAAGTAATGGTCTTGAAGTCAGTGGTGACCCGGCTGACTGCAGTGGTTCATGGCATGGCAGCTAGAGGCAGAGATCAAGGGAGGGGGTGGAATAGACCCTGCTAGGACATGCCCTCGGGGACCACATCTTTCTAACATCATGTTTAGCTGTAAACCATCAGTGCACTACTCCACTGATGAGGGCCACATCCCCACAATCCGTCACCCCCCCCCCGTCAGCCCCACCTGTGAGTGCGTGAGGTTTTGGGGACCATCTAGCTAGAAGCTCTAACAGAGGAGCATACATTAGAATGAAGGCAGAGGTCTACAGATCATGGCTTGGGCGCACACTGTAGGTAGTGTTGGAAGCAGAAGGAGAAGGGAAGGTGTTTCCAGAGGTGGGGAGAGGACCAAGATAAAGAAGCATCCTGCAGGTCATGGAAGAAGTCTGTCATCACTTTGATGTAAATTGGAGTTTCATTGGCTGTGTGCCTAGAATTGTCTTTAGTATTTGTAACAGCATGTTATGGACTGCCGCGACAAGAGCATTGGCATGGCTTGACGTGAGTGTGTTCCTGCCAGGGGCCCAGGAGGTAGTGGAGCCCACCTTGTAGGAGGTCCCGAGGTCACTGAGGGGTGGAGTCTCAACACTCCAGCTTTCTCTTTGCTTCCGGGCCCACTGGGTGAGCCTAGCTTCCTGCCCGGATGTGCCACCTGGCCAGAAGCCCAGGGCAATAGGCTGCTCGGTCTCGAATCCCTAAGAGCCAAAATAAACCTTTCATTTTATAAGTTAATTATCTCTGGCATTTTATTATAGTAATGTAAAGTGGACTCATACCATCTCCTTCAAATACATTATGAAAAGCTATGTAGACGTCTACTTACGGCTGATTGTTTCACTGTACCTTATCACATTTGTTCTTGTGCTTGGAACTGGAAACTTGGTCAGAACTAATTAAACCTTCTCTGGAGAGAGCTTAATTCTAGAGCATTAAGAGTAGCTAGTAATAAAATGTTACAATTTATTTTTTTATTGCTATACTGGGGATTGCACCCCAAGTGTCATGCATGCTAGGCAAACATTTTACCACTGAGCTACATCCCCAGCCCTTTTAAATTTTTATTCTGAGTAAGGGTCTCAGTATGTTGCCCTGGCTATCCTTGAGCTTTCCATCATCCTGCCTCAGCCTCCTCTCGGGTGGAATGTGTGTGCCATCAGCCTGGCTAAACACTACTGTGTCTGTGTCCCTGCTGTGTCAAGCTGTGTGCCCCACCTGTGTTACCACAGTGCATCAGGCACTGTGTGGTGTGGACTTTTATTTCCCACTTTGTGGAGGAGCATAGGAAACTGCCTGAGCCCCGTAACTGAAGCTGTGAGCTGAACTGGAATTTCCATCTTCTTCCTCGTGCCGTGCTAGTAGTGTGGACAGCCTGCAGCAAAAGCCATGGGGACACCAAAGCCCCAGCTGCTAGGATAGTCCAGGGCACTGTATTAGAGTAAACTAAGCCCCTGAGATAAACTTCTGTGTCCTTCAGGTCCCCGCTGTGTCAGAGGCACAATGCCTTCCAGTGGCAGCCCCAGGCCGCTGCTCTCCACTGGTGGCTGGCCACCCTTCTCTGAGCTGTTGGGGCTGACTTTTCTATGTCATGTGTCCATGTCCTGGGGATACCCCAGCGAGGCATTGCCATTCCTCTGTGCATACTGTGGTTGAACACTTAGTCCTGTGTCTCTTATTACCAGCAGGCTGGGCAGTGCGGGCGACACATCATCTTAAACAAAGAAAGGAGAGAAGACCCATGGGCACTGGGATCCCTGCTACAGGAATCCAGGGAAAGGGCAGGACATGGAACCAGGCAGGTACCCCGCACACGGCTTTGAAGAGTACCCTGACGTTCTTGTGAATTCGTCTTAAAATGTGAGGCATTTTTGGGTTAATTTCATTCCACAGATTGGTAAGAGTATTTAATACAGTAATTGGTTATTAAATTAAGGATTAGGAATATTTAGTACTCATAAAATAAAATTAGCAGTGGGGGATACAGCTCAGTGACAAAGCACCTGCCTGATAAGTACAAGGTTTTAAGTTTGATCCCCACTACCAAAAGAAAGAAGTGTGTTAATCAGCTTCATGCTACCCTAACAGAGCCCCTGTGACAGTGAACCTCCTAAGGAGAAACAATCTTGGCTCATAGCAGTGGAGGTTGAGGTCCAAGGTGGGGTAGAGGGCAGTGGGTCCTTCCAGCCTGAGCCGAGATAACACCACTTCCCGCAGGAGCGGGAGTCAGGGGTAGTAAGTGCTGCCCTGGACAAGGCTTCTGTGAGGGCATTCAGTGCCCGAGTCATGGCAGTGTCCTCTCCACAGTGATCCCGTGAAACGCCTGGCAGGGACTCTGCCCTGTAAGCGGTGAAGAGAATCTGTGGGAACCCATGCGGAGAGGGCTGGGAGACCCCGGAGTGTCAGGAAGGAGCCTTTGGAAGTGCCCCCTCTGTATTGTCCTGATTTTGGCTTGAGGTTTATATTTTGGTGGGGTTTTAAATTTTTTAAAAGTTTTTTGCTGTTAATATTTGGGGACTATCTCACTTATTTCTGAAACATCGAATTTGGCCTTAGCCCAGAAGGTTCTGCAATGTGGTTTCATTTTGGCCTTTTGTCTTGAGCTCTATGTTGCTGGTCTTTGATAAGAGCTGTATGGTAGGCAATTCAAAACTAAGATTTCACTTAGCAGGAAAAATACGTAGAATTGGAATATCTCTGATGACTTTGTTTTCCTTAGGTTTAAGCTCTGTTTCATGGAAAATTAATATTCCTGCTTATTGTGTGCTTAACCTCCCTCCTTCTTTTGAGGTAGGGTCTCACCATGTGGTTCAGGCTGGCCTTGAACTCACCATGTAGCCCAGGCTGGCCTTGAACTCACAGTCATCCTCCTGCTTCAGCCTTCTGAGTGCTGGGAGCATAGGAGTGCGCCACCACACCCAGCACAAAGTAACTTCTTCACTTGATTCCTCTGGAGTTTTAGAGAGTAAGTGGTGTGCTGTCAGATGCTGACGGACCCCAGCACAGGAATGATGTGCTCTGTGCATTTAGTAAAGGGAATTGGCTCGAGCAGGATGTGGGGAGTCCAAGGGGTGTGGATGCCTCTGGAGAGGAGGCTGCTGTCTTCCAGGTCCTGGCATCAACAGTCTTTTCCTCCACTACGAGAACACCTTTATCCTCTCTTGTTGTTGTTACCAGGAATCAAACTCTGTCTTGCACTGGGCAGGTGCTGCCCTGCTGAGCTGCATCTCTGGCCTGGTCCTATTTTCTTTGGTGGCCGAGTGCTGGGACCGCATTCTCTTGCACTGTGTCTGGACATCCTTTTCTTGCCCTCTGACCCTTCAGTGCGTCTGATGGAGAAGGATGCCGTCCTGGGGTGGGAGCCGGAGGTTGTGTTCCTTGGGAAGCCTTGGTGACCTCATGGTTCCTCCTGTGATGTCCCTTGACATCTAACGGTTGCCCTTCAGTGTCTTGTCTGTATTTTTCTGAGCATTTTGAAGTTTTTCCCTCCCTTGGTTTTCTGTTGTTTTCCTGTGTGACTTTCTTCCTCTTTGTCCTGACTGAGCTGTGAAGATTCTCAGGCCAGTCCTTTGTGACTCTGAAAGTCCCTGCTGGTGACTGGGGTCACTGGGCTGAAAGCCTCAGCACCTCTTGCTGTGTGATCAGGGGCCACAGGTGGGTGCCAACCCATCTCTGTCCTCTGCCTCCTCTCACCCACAGCTAATGGCTGCTTTTTCGCATCACTCAGTAGCAAAGCTCTGTGTCTTCAGCATCCAGTCTCGCTGGCCCTTTGTGTGCCTCTGATCCCACTCTGGGCTCATGCTTTCTTCCTCCTCTGCTCACCTATCCTCCTTGCCGGGGGGTGCGGTTCTTACTCTTGTGCTGTGAACCGCCCTCCAGCCTCTCATACACCCTGTGGATTGTGAGAAGTTGGCCCGTTTTGGAAGGTGGACTTCGGTGTAATTAAGAGGAAGTGCCTTTGGTCCACAGTGTGTTTCTTTGCCAGAAGAACTCAGTTTGGCTCTTCATTTTCATTTCCAGTAAGCTCGTCAAGCATGAAAGTGACCCTGTCGGCTGTGGACACTTACGAGACTTCTTTCACGCCTCTGGTGGTCATAGAACTTGCTCAGGATGTCAAAGAAGAGACCAAAGAGTGGCTGAAAAGCAGAATTGTTGCTAAAAAGAAAGACGGAGGTGAGTGAAGTGGCTGCAACCCAGGTGCCATCAGCTGGCGGCCTGGCCCTGCCTCTGCTCCCCTTGGAGCCCTGTGTGTGACCCTGAAGCGGCAGCACGGGGAGGGGCGCAGGGCTCGGGCCCACAGACCCGCTCGGCCCTGGTTCTGGGTAGCAGGGCTTAGTGGGTGGGGAGGCAGAGGGTGCCGAGAGCAGACCCCGCCTCAGTCACACGGAACAGCACCTTGGGCCACCCTAAGCATTGGCCAAGACTTTATAAAATAAATGCCTATAAAATAGAATTTTGAATCAAACTAGATTAAAGTTTCCTTCCAATAATTGTGCCCAGAAGGAAGAAAAGCACAAGTGTTTACTGCTGGAATTTGAGGTGCTGTTTCCTCCAGAACATTTGCGGGGATTGTGAGCAACCCCAGCACCTCTCTGCCTCTGCTCCCACACCAGCCATGTGGGTTCAGGGCCCTCAGGGCCAGGAGGGTATCTTGTGTCCGTCAACTGACAGCTTTGCTGTCAGGTCAGGTGCCTCAGTGATGATGTCGTGGTACAGTGTCCTCTCAAAAATGGATCCGCACTTCAGGGACAGATAAGCCTTCTATACCTTGGGAAATGGTGTTAACTATTAACATTTCTTTTCCCTTTTACCAAACTAGAAACATTCTATTACTCGGAAGTGTTCAGTTTTGTTTGTTTCTAAGACTGAGCTTACCTTTTGTCTTGGAAGGTGCCCAGTTGCTGTTCAGACCCCTGTTAAATAAGCAGGAGAAGGAGACACTGGGGAACAAGGAGAACTTGTACCTCGTGGGCGCTTCGGGGCTGCGCCTGCTGCTGGGCGCTGAGGCAGTGGGGCTGGTGCGGGAATGCACGGATGGCACCATGCGCGCCTTCACCTATGACACCCGGCGCAGCTTCAGAGGCTTCCACGGTGAGTGGGCCCCTCTGTCCCACCGTTTGTCACACACCAGTGTCTGCTGAGTTGGTCAGGGCCAGACAGCAAGGGTTTTGTGGACAGTGTCGCCTCCCTGAAATTAATACTATGCTCCACAGTAGAGCAGAAAGCAGCCCTAGACCACGAGGCGGTGAGTGTGCAAGGCAGTGTTCCAGTGCCACATTATTTGCAGAACCCTGTGGCAGGCCACCCACACCCCCCCTCGGGGAAGGATGCATGTGTGGCTGGTGGTATTATTCACTCTGTGTTTCACAGTGATGCATGTTCTCTCACTTGGTGTAGAAAATCTCCGGATAGGAAACAGTGGAGGGTCCTTACCCTGGGAACCAGGTTCCTGAGCCCTCTGGCTCCTCCCACACAGGGGAGGGTGGCTGCGTGTGTGCCAGCCCCCAGAGCTTCCACAGGGAATGCTTCCTGCTGGGATCTGCTCACTGTGGGGGAGCCGAAGCTTCAGGCATGATGGATTGGGCTAGGGCTCTTCAGACAGGTGCACAGGGGACCTTTGCACCCCAGCAGCCTCAGGGTCAGGCCAGATGGACCTCCTTTGAGCAGGTCCGCCTCCCTGGACATCATGAGGCTCCCCCAGGCTTTCTTCTCTTAGCAACAGCGGACTCTGGAGGGAATGAAAAGGGCTTAGAAGTTTGAAGAAGGGCTTTTCCCATGTAGGCAAACTCAGCGCCTCCATCCCTGCCTGAAAATGTCAGCATTCAAGACCGCATTGGCTTCTGCCTCTTCGCACTGAGTGAGACCAAGCAATTGGACCTTTGTGCCTTGCCATGTGACAGCCAGCAGGTGGGCGGAGAGTTGTATTGTGAGCAAGCGTAACCAGAATGTTGTGTTCCTAGAAAAGCTCGAAGGAGCTTTGTGTTCTGTTGGATTTACCAGTCTCACATTTGATCACTCCTCCGTCTGTTGCTATTGTCACATCAGTACTTCCAGTCTCCCGCAACTGGAGTCTTCTGCTGAGCTTTCTTTTGATGATGGAGAAAATAACAAGTTTGTGTTTTATTCTAGATGACAATGACGATTTCCTCACCATGGCAGAGTGTCAGTTCATTGTCAAGCATGAGCTGGAAAACCTCAGAGCCAGGGAGGAGAGGATGATCCCCGGGTACCCGCACGCGAAGCTCTATCCAGGGAAGTCGATATGTAAGTGAGGCCATCAGCCGGGCGGACAGGCACACCTCCTAATCCACTGCCCTTGCATAAAGAGCAAACTTGATAAAGAGCAGTTTCCTCTTCACCCTGATGCTGACCCAGCCTTACGGAACGCGGACCTGTCTTTTGCCAGCGGAGGGAGACAGTGCCCATTTTCACCACTACGTGTTCTGTGTGGTTCGCTGCTTTTTAAAGATCTCACAGCCAATAGCTGGCTCTGTGTGTGTGTGTGTGTGTGTGTGTGTGTGTATGCATGTGCACGTGTGTGGTACTAAGGGTTGAACTCGGCCTTTGTACTAAGCTAAATCTCTAGGCCTCCTCCTGTGTTTTCATTTTGAGACAGGCTGTCACTTAAGCCCCTGGAGAGCCCTCACTGGACTTCCTGCCTCGGCCTCCCTGAGTGCTGGGATTACCAGCCCGCCCACATTGTGCTGTAATGAAAATCTGTGGTGAAAGATGGGGGGCCAGGTGCTTGGCTGTCTCTGAGCCCGGACCCCTACCCCGCTGGTGCTGACCTGGCACAGGCAGCAGAGCTGAAGTAGCTCCAGGGGCACACAGCGCCCAAATCTCACGGCCTTTTGGTTTTGTGTACTTTATTGGGAACACTCTTTTGCAGAATGAGTTTACTGCAATGTGTGATTCCAAATTCGCTTTCAACCCAGAAAGTGCCACGGCTGCAGCGTTTCTGCTGTTCTCCGTACACTTCAGCCTTGCTGGTGCTGTGTAGCCACGGGCTGCAGTTCTCCATGTCCCCAGCAGCCGGCAGACTGGAGAGAGAGTGAGAAAGAGAGGAAAGCTGGGGTCCTGGGGTCAGGGAGCCCCTCTCCACATGGAAGAGAAGGAGCTGCTCAGCCACTGCAGTAGGTTTATTTATGCACTCAGGAGGAGGAGTCATTTTTACCCTGCTGTCCAGCAATTTGTGTGCCTGACTAGCCTGGGCCCCTGCCTTCTTGGAGCCAGAACAGCTTGTTTACATGGCTTGTTCTGGGCTCTCCGTGTTTTCAGGGCTGGCCTGGCTTTAGCCCCACACATGTGATCCATTTCTAGCTTCAAGGGCTGCCTGCCCTCCTGTGTGCCTGGTTTAGGTCCTTTGAGTTGCCACTGTAAGGCCACCTTGCATCCTCTGGGAGGATAAAACCCCACGCTGGTATTCATGTGCATGTGTCCTGGCTTCCGCTTAGCAGCTGTGTGTCACTGATACGGGGGAAGTGTAACTTCCAGGCTGCTGGATGTCAGACGTGCCAAAAAATGAATACTAAGGAACAATAGAGGTTAAGAGCAGGAAAACTTACTGAGAGACAGCTCCTGAGTCACAGGAGGGGGCCTGAAAGTGGGTTACCAACAAATCTACCTTTCTGAGAAAGTTTATGGAGCAAGGTCATGAGATGGGTACAACATGGGCTCAATAATAATTGACCAATAAGATTACATGGACAGCCACTTAGCTAATTTGATCTAGTAGTAGCAAGGGCATGTGGATGACATCATTTGCCTTGGTTGATAACCTACAGTCTTAGTTTAGTCTTGGTGGGTGGAAGAGGCTAGCCCACCCCCAGTGAGATAAATGGTTTATTTATAGGAGAAACCTCAAAAGGGTGGTGCCAGTAATCTCAAGTTTCCATTTATCATTTATTGTTTATTTAAAAAAGTCTGGGCTTGGGGGATTTAGCTCAGTAGCACAAGTGCCTTCTTGGCAAGCACAGGGTTGTGAGTTCAATCCCCAGTACCAAAAAAAAAAAAAAAAAAAAAGAAAGAAAGAAAGAAAGAAATTGCAAAACAAAACCAAGCCATGTTAAATTTCAACTGAACATATTATGGCCAGTTAAATTAGGTAGAAATATTCTGGCCATAATATGTTCAGTTGAAATTTAACATTATAGATTTTTACTTAACTTCCCAGTGGCCTGCTTTCCTAAGTGCAGTGTCCTCTGCTGTGGTGGATGTCACGGTCTTTCCCTTGCTTCTCTTATCCATCCGTGTGGCTTCAGGAGGCCTCAGGAAGTGTGACTGTGGGCACCCTCTGCTCACCTTGGTCTCCTTTCAGTTATCTGTGTGTGCCTCGACAGTCACTGTCATGTGCCCGCTCCTTTGCTGGACACAGTTCTGTGGCTGTGGAGATTAAAGATTGCCATTGTTTAAGGAACATTTTCTTTCTTTTCTGTTTATTTTAAAGGGAGTAAAATTAAACACAACAAAACAGAACAAAATAGGACATAAGAAAGCAATGTAAGAGATATAAATTTCAAAGCTAGACAACCTGAGATCTTCACTGTCTATCATATTATCTCGTTTTCTTCCAAATAGTTGTCCATGTCTTCGCATACAGAGAATTCATACAAAACGACATAGTATAAAACTGATCTGAACAGAATGAGGAAGGTGATTTAGGTTTTCAAAACCAGACAATAGGGATGTCACTAATGGCTGTTGTAGGTTCCTCCTCAAAATAGCCGTCCACACCTTCATGTATATTGAAGCTCAACAGAACAAAACAGGCGGGAGGGGGGTGGTGGCGTGAGGGGTTGCTTAGCTTCCTGGTACTCCAGGTCCTAGCATGGCACGGGTCTCAGCAAATGCTGCTGGCTCCCGCCCTGGGCTGCTGGAGCCTGCCACACTCACACCACTCACCAGGGCAGGGAGAGGTTGCTTGGTTTCTCTGCACTCCAGGTTCTGGCATGGCACGGGTCCTAATAAATGCTGGTGGCTTCTGTCCTGGGCCACTGCAGCCTGCCACACTCACAGCTGCTCACCAGGTGGGGAAGGGTTGCTTCAAGCTGTTTCTTTGTAATGAATTGACCATTCTACTGCTCAAGTTCTGAAATGGCCAACAGACTATAGAAAGACGTCTCTTTAGGCTCCTGCTTGAAACCAACAGTGTCAGGAAGCTGCCGGCCTTGACTCAGGGCCAGTAAGGAACATTTTCTTAAAGTTACCTTTATTATGTGCTCCGTAGGGATGCAAATTATTTGTAGGTAAATGGCTTTTATGTCTTGCCTGTAACATTTAAAGATCTTTGTCCTTAGGTACTTTTCTTAGGGTTTTGTACAGTTTTTCTGACCATGTTTTCACATTGGCATTAATTTCTACAAGCTCATGAAGAATTTCATCATTTTTCAGTGCTTCATGATATAATTTTTTGATGTGGTTTCTCTCTGTCTCTGTCTGTCTGTGTGTCTGTCTCTCTCTCTTTCTCTCTCTCTCTCTCTCTCTCTCTCTCTCTCTCTCTCTCTCTGTCTCCTGTCGTACTTTTGTGTAGCTCAATGATGGTTTCTTTATGATTCTTCAGGGACCTCCTCTTGTCCCAGGTTGTCAGTTGGAAGGAAGTGCTTGTGTTAGCAAGCCGGGTCGGGGACCGTGGTATGCTGCGTAGACCTGCCTGGCAGCACGTCCTGCAGAGAGGCTCTGTGGAGCCCTGTCCTTGGAGGGGCTCTTTCTTCTACTGGGCCTTAGGCTGCCTTTGCCCAGCCACTGCTGCCAGCCCAAGGCAAGTCGTCTTCCAGCCCAGGCTCCAGCTCCACCAGGAGGCTCTTTCTTCAGGCACTGCAGGCTTCGTGGCCTTTGGGAAAGTATATGCGTACCTGTGTGTGTGTGTGCGTGCCTGTGTGTATGTGTGCCGTGTATGTGCGTGCATGCGTGTGCTTTTTTTTAAAATATCATCTGGGATAAGAATCCCATTTACATTGTCAGACCAGGATTTTTAAATTCTGCATTTCTCTATACCTTTGGAAATGTAATCCATAAAATTTGGTGTCTCTTTTGCATTATTATGGTGTATATCATACTTGGCTGAAGAAGAAATAATAGATGCATAATTATAAATTGTGAACTATTTTCAGGCGCAAATTCAGAAGTCACAAAATTTATAATCCCAGCTCTTGAGTAGATTAATCCGTGGCAGCCAGGCGTGTTAGTCCTGTAGGTTTTGTGGAAGGCTGATGGGAGGAGACTTTGTCTGCCAGGCACACTGCCCCTTTGCACTGAGCAGTGGCCAGGCTTTTTAAAAATCACCAGGTGTGTCCAAGGCTCCATGCAACTTCATCTGACACACAGCGGCTCTGGGTTTGCTTGCTGCGTGCACGTGCAGTGCTTCAGGATGAAGCCTCACTAAGCAGAGTCATGTTCTTGAGAGCATGTCTTTGGGGCAGGGGGATGCTGAGAGATAAGTCACTGGGGCTCCTCCCGGCTCCCCCAGGTGCAGGTAGTGGGAAGGGCTGGCTGTCGGTCCCTCGCCAGGTTGGCAGGTGTTGAGCTTGGCAGCAGTTCACTGCCAAGACCCTGTGCTGCCCTCAGACCACCTGCTTCTGCTGTTTCTTCACTGAGGTGCAGAAAGCAGATGGAAGATTCCTTTAGAAAAGGGGTTAGGGACCCACGGCTGCTTAGCTGTTAACTGTACATGGATGTTACTCAGCTCTATCTCCAGATGGCTTTCAGATGCGTTCTGTTTGGGGTGACAGGGGCTCCACATTCTGTTTGGAGTGACGGGGGCTTGCATATGGTCTTGGTGAGTCCCCTAGGGTTCCTGAATTGGAGACTTCATCCTCAGGAGGTGATGTAAGGGATGATAGAACTGTCAGGAGGTGGCTCTAGTGGGAGTTCCTAGGTCATCGAAGTGTCCACCCTGGAGAGGACTGGGCACTCTGTCCTCTCTGTTTGGTGATGTGATCACACCCTGTCTTGTGTGCTCCAGGACTGAGTGGTACTGGTGCCATGTCTTTGAATGCATGAACTAGGTAAACCTCTTTTCTCATAAAGTTAGTCTGCTGCAGGTATTTCATTATAATAACAGAAAAAGGACAAATTCAAGACCTGACACATCTCAGAGCTTTAATATCAGATAGTTATTCTTGCAGTACATTATAGGAGGTTCTTAAATATCTTCCGTGTACAAGAACGGGTAGGTTAGGGTAGTCAGATACAGTGCATCTTCACCAGCCTTTAATTGGCATTATAAAAGTAATAGAGTAGGTTTCAAGTCAGTGTCACGCACTAGGAATGTACTGAGAAGCTGTAGACACATATATGACTGTATGGAGGGAGGTGCAGCGGTGTATGAGATCAGCCATCTGTACGAGTGAACAAAAGCCCTGTATTACAAAGGCACCATGAGACAGACAGACAGACAGACACACACACACACACACACACACACACACACAACTGTGTTTTGCCATATGTATATATTTGTGCCTTTGTAGTAAGCAGGGATAAAAATGAAACACAAGTACAGAATATAAAATGTGTTTTAAGAACACAAGTTCCCCAAGAGCACTTTTTTCACCCACACAGGAGCACACTGTTCAGGGCACCCACCTGCGGTGGGTACGGGGGCTGCAGGGCGGTGGGAGGCGAGGAGGCAAGGGCGTCTTCACTCGGGATGGCCTGCTCCTCCCTGTGCACAGCACACTGTAGTGAGCCCTGAGAGACTGTGCCTTTCCCTTCGGAGTGGATGTATCACATAAACCACGGACAGGCGCGGTGCTGCGTTGGTGCTGCTCTGTCTTATTAGTGCATCTGCCAGAAGCCTGGTCCCTGAGTGCGCCCCTGACCGGACATGGCTCCTCTGGCTGCCTGGGCCCTGGCTGCCAGTTGCACCTGTGCTGCGCAGCACCCACCTGCGCCCTGGAGGCAGGAACACGGCTGTATTGCTGCTGTTTTCCTGACTGACTGGTGCCAGAGCCTGCTCCCACCCAAGGTCCAGCTTCTGCCTTGGAATCTCATTCTTAGCTGAGTGGAGGAGATTGGAGAGTTTTAAAGAAAAGCGAACTATTTTTAGGAGCTGAAACCGGAACCGTGCTTTGGCGTGGATGGCGAGGAGAAACCTAGTAACTTAGGAGTCGCAGCCCTATTTTTAGCAATGCACCGACTGGTGTGACTTGGCTTGGAGACGCTCCCATAGTAGGGTGGGGTCATCTTTTATAAAATAACTTGGAAATGGTACAGTAATGACTTAGGTGATGTATCGCAGCCCAGAGCTAAAGAAACTGGGTGCAGTAATTGAAATGGATGGAAATCAGAGGGACTAGGTGACAGCCTGTGTACCCCCAAATCCAGGAGAAGAGCACGGGAATGCTTGTGGGTGCCCGCCTGTAACTCATGTTCACTGAAGGAAAATCCATGGAAACACTGTAGAGGGGAAATAGTTTAAAAATGGATTTGACAGCACCAGTGACTGATATAACTTAAACCATATGTCTTTGTGCCCTGGCTGCTGGTATTTCGAGTGTATACCTTTTTCAGTTTTTAGGAGGATTTTATCACCGCTTAGCTCTGAAAGTCTTTTCTGCCCTGTCTAACTTACTTAGGAATCTTTTCTTCAGACCCAGGCCTTTTCCTGTTTTTAGTGTCAGATATCTCCTTTGTTTCTGAGAAGTTAAGCTACTCTGAAGGTGTTTGGCTGGGAACCTGTCCCCAGACCCTACTGCTTATCTCTGGCCTCCGTAAACTCCCGCACTGGGACCTTCAGTCCTGTTTCTTGTCCATGATGCTGGTCTCACTGAGGGGCTTGTGCTCGGGTCCAGCTGTCTATCTTTGGTGACAGACCTGCAGGGGTTCAGGACGACACCCCAGCAGAGGAGAGCGGGTCAGCCCACAGAACTCACTGCGCAGTGGGGAGCAGTGAGATGAGGCATTCTTGGTGCAGCCCTGTACTTCTGAGCAGTGGTGTTGGTCTGCACAGAGGGTTTGATCTCAGTCTTAGCCTTAGCCAGGGACAGGACTGAGACTCGCCTGGCTGGACAGCCCAGGGCATTGTGGCAGCGTCCTCCATGTTCCCTGGACATGCTTTTCCTGAGGAGCACCCCCAGCAAGTAACTGAATAACCTCTGCAGCCAGAGGATGCCACCTCCTCCTATTTTCTGTCTCTAGGAAGGGAGGCCATCTTTTGTTAGTTTCATTTGTCTTTCCAAGTGAGCGTGAGTGTTTAAACTATGCTGAAAGGGGACAATCTTAGGCTGATTTTGGGACGTCCCGATAGTGGGTGCGTCTTTGTATTTGATTAGAACAGACGAACATGTACCCACAAGAACCAAAGGAAGGTGTTGCGACCTTCACCTCTGTGGGAGGGCAGTGGGTGAAGTATCGCAGGGGAAGATTCGCAGTGTGTGTCCAGATTGAATGCCTGTGCCTTTGGGTCCAGCGGTTCTGTGTCCGAGTATACAGAGTACAGAAAGAGTCTCCAGGTGGGGAAAGGTGTTGGACAAGAACTGGAGCGTTACTCATAACAGCAGGAAAGGAGACAGGTATCTTCCATGGAAGATTAAATGATAACATTTCATACAGGTGCAATTGTGACACTTACAAGCACGTTTCAGGTTCCATTTATATTGGAGTTGGAAAAATGGTAAAAACACTATGTGAGAAAAGATTGCAGAGCAATGCAATGAGAATGAAATGATGTCATTTTGTTTCAAAATTCTTTATTCATCCCAGTCTGTTGGTGCACACCTGTAATCCTACTACTCAGGAGGCTGAGGCAGGAGAATCATACCAAGTTCAAGACCAGCCTGGGCTACAAAGTGAGCTCAAGGCCAGCCTGAACTGCATAGCAAGACCAAAAAAAATTGTTTATTCATAAATGTGTTTTTAAAAGTCTGGTTGTACATAAATCGCCATTTTTACTGACTTTGGGGGAGTAGGGACAGGAAACTGGCCTCTCCTACCCTACTTTCTACCCTTTAGGGTTTTATACATGGATTTGGATTGCTTTCCTAGTCAGAGATAATAGTGAAGCTGCTTACAGCCTGAGGAGCAGGAGCCCCAGCACATGTGGAATGGGCTGCCTGACTGTGACCTCGCACAGTGTCCCTCTCTCCTGGGCCTCCTCACAGCATCGCCGAAGGTAGTGCACAGTCTCCAGCTGGTCCAATGTCGTCTGACACGCTTTCCCTCCACAGTGCGGAGGCTGCTCACGTCTGGCATTGTGCTCCAAGTGTTCCCGCTGCATGACCACGAGGCCCTGAGGAAGCTGGAGGATGCTTGGTACACCCGTTTCTCCTTGCACTACCAGCCCATAGGTAGGTGTCCGAGCCCCCTCTGCGGGGCTGTGGGGTTGTGTGAGGTTCATGGAACACTAGAAGTTGAGGCGGCCTGCGTCTGACAGCAGTGATAAATGTGTCCTGTGGGCTGTTCTACAGCCAGTGTGTGGAATCTGGCTTTGTGCTTTTGAATGCTCTCTGTTTAGCATACGGGAGATCAGGAGGCTGCAGGTGGGAGGCTCCTTGGCAAGGAGCATTTGCAGCTCTAATACCAAAGTGGGGGAAAAGTAGAAGCACACATTCGACACCCAAAGGCGCACTTGAGCTCAGCTAGCACCTTGGAGACGAGGTCGAGCCCCAAGAAGAGTCTTTTTTTGGGAAGAAGGCATCCGTTGAGGAAGTAATAGGAAACCGAGTCAAGGTGTCCGGCAGAGCAGCCTCAGGCTGGGAGATGTGAGCTGGGCACAGTGACGGGTGGGGTCTGCACGCTGCATCACTGGGAGACGAGGGTGTTGAAGGTTAACGCACTTACCTGAAAAGATGAACAAGCATTACTGCAGGTTGAACAGGAGGTCTTTGACGGTCCAGGCTCAAGTTCTGTCTCTCCCCCACCGCAGACAGTATTCGCAGCTACTTTGGGGAAACCATCGCTCTATACTTCGGGTTTCTGGAGTATTTCACCTTCGCCTTGATCCCCATGGCCATCATTGGGCTGCCATACTACCTGTTCGTGTGGGAGGACTACGACAAGTATGTGGTCTTCGCATCCTTCAACCTCACCTGGTCCACGGTCATCCTGGAGGTGTGGAAGCGCAGCTGTGCTGACATGACCTACAGGTGGGGGACGCTGGTCATGAAGAGACAGTTCGAGGAGCCCCGGCCCGGGTTCCACGGCGTCCTGGGTGTCAATCCAGTCACTGGCAGGGAGGAGCCCCTTTACCCCAGCTACAAGCGGCAGCTGCGCATCTATCTAGTCTCCCTGCCCTTCGTGTGCCTCTGCCTCTACTTCTCTCTGTACATCATGATGATCTACTTTGACCTGGAGGACTGGGCTCTGAGCGTCCACCAGGAGAGTGGGACCGAGTGGACTGGTGTCCTCCTGTACGTGCCCAGTGTCATCTATGCCATCGTGATCGAGATCATGAACCGCCTTTATCGCTGCGCTGCCGAGTTCCTGACTGCTTGGGGTGAGCCTCTACGCCTGGTCTTCTCTTGTTGGCACCTATGAAATGTTCTGGGAGCAGAGTGTCGTGGGGTGGCTTTTGCAGGAAGGCAGAGATTCTCTGGGCTTGAGCCAGAGATGGTGTGTATGTCCTCCCGATACCCCCCACCCACCCCACCCCCGTGTTGTGAGCTGTGGTCTCTGTTTCCGGCTCCCTGGTCACCACAGCTGTATGGTATTTCTGTTTCATTTCTCAGTGTGTTGTTTATTTGGAGACAGGACCTTGCTGTGTAACCCTAGCTGGCCTTGAACTCCCTCTGTAGCCCAGGCGGGGCTCCAGCTCATGTTGATCTTCCTGCCTCAGCCTCTTGAGGGCTTGGATTACAGGTGTACACTGCACCCCCGCACACCTGCCACGGCTCTGAGTTCCTGAGTGTGGCATGCTCTAGTGGCCCACCAGTGCTTTATCCACAGTGTCTCATTGTCACCTCCTCAGGGCACTGTGTAGTGTTGTTTCACCATTTTTTTGGATAAAACATGTGGATGCTCAGCCAGGTTCCAACTGCCAACAGTGGAGCCAGGCTAATCCAGACACATCCGAACAACCCTGTGCTCTTGATATGGCCACATTGTGGCTCCTGGGAGGGTGGAACGGATGGAAATCACTTAGTTTATGCAGGGCTTTTTTCTTCTTTTTTGTCTTGGGGATTTAACCCAGGGAGGGTTGAGGTTCATCCCTGTCATTGATTTTTGCACTCGGGGCCTCCATGCTAGGCAAGCGCTCTGCCCCTGAGCCCCATACCCAGCCGCCTTTCCCTGTATTTTACTTTGAAGCTGGGTCTTCCTACGTAGCTAAGATACCTCGCCTGACCTTGAGCTCATGATCTGCCTGCTTCAGCCTGTAGAGCAGCTGTGATCAGAGCTGTATGCCATTGTGCCCAGCTTGCAGGGGCTGCTCTTTCTTTCTTTCTTTTTTTTGTGGCCTGTTTAGAATAATTTGCCAACAGTTTCCAAATTTCTAAATTTCTTTTTTGTGCTAATATTTTATAAATAAATTCAGACCACACTGGTGTTACAGTACCAGAAGTGCATCCCTGCTTGCTGTTGATGGTTGTAGGGAGTGGCTGTGACCACAGAGCGGTGTGTGTAGAGACTTCTAGGGCCAGAAGTCTGCTCTGAGCCCAGATCCCTCCGTGCCTGGGCCAGTGAGCCCACACTGTCTTCTTACCTGACAGAAGCTCCCTTCTTAATCTTCTAGAGAATCACAGATTGGAATCTGCTTATCAGAATCACCTCGTTCTGAAAGTCTTGGTGGTAAGTAGAGGTTTTATGTACAAATCCGCTCGAATGATGAAACTAAAGTGTACTGTTCAAAACTGAAGCTTACGCCTGTAATCTCAGCACTTGGGAGGCTGAGGCAGGATTGGCTGTGAGTTTGAGACCAGTGTAGGCTACAAAGCGAGCTCAAGACCAGCCTGAACTGCGTAGTAAGACCTTGTCTCAAAAAGACCAAAAACAAAACAAAACAAAAAAACAAAAGACCCAAAAAGTGAGAAGTGTCAATATGACGTTTCTAATTTAAGATACAAGATTGTTAACGTACTTCATATAAATAGGCAAGATTGGGGAATAAATGTATGCAGCTGTGTTTAGCAGTCCTGTCACAGATGTGTGGTGATGACACTTTAAATTATGGAAGTTAGTGTTACAGCCTGTTCCCTCATGTGAAAAGTGACCCATCTTCTAGACAGGTTTCCCTTGTCACTCTTTCAATCATCTTGTTGAACATTTTATTAGTCAGCAGTCTCTGGGTATCCGCAGTCTGCTTAGTGAAGAGAGAGGCATCAACCCATTTAAACATTTTATTAAAGGATGAGAGCCTCACATGTTCCCCTAGGCGGGAGCAAGAGGTAGACTGGAAGCTCCAGGGCCATCTGAGTGGAAGCAGCCTTTACAGTCAGGGGGAGGGTGGTGTGTCTGTGGCAGAGCACAGTCCCAGCCAACCGTAGTGTCACTGAGGACCCGGACAGGTGTGCAGGGCGCCAGCTCTGCCCTGGCAGAGATGGGGTCCTACGGCCTTGCTAGCCGTGGCTGCTGGCCCCTGGCACCGCTCCTCGGGGCTGAGTGCAGTGTGTCCCTGGCCTGACCGACTCTCCTCACTGGTTCTGCAGGGCTGGCTGGTGTTGGGGGCTCTGTGTGACACCTGCCTGCTGGGTCTTGGTCTCTGTCTCTCCCCGGGGGGCACCTAGGAGGCATGTTCCTTGGTCCCAGACTCCATGTGCCCTTGGCGCCTTTCGGGGCTCCCCTGCTGTCGCCTCTCTGGCTCCTGCAGAGTTGATAGCTGTGCATGGCGGGGTGGGTAGAGGCACCGACTCACTCTCTTGTCTGAGTGGAGTCCTTGCTGTGGGCTTAAACCCGTCTGCAGGTGTCGTGGGTCCTGCAGAGCGTGGTTAACGTCGCTCTCTCTCCGCAGTTCAACTTCCTAAACTGCTTCGCCTCGCTCTTCTACATCGCCTTTGTCCTGAAGGACATGAAGCTTCTGGGCCAGGTGGGTGTGAGGTCAGGAATGCAGCGGCCTCTTCGGGTCCTGAGGTGGCATCCTCCGCCTGGGTAATGCAGTCATCTCTAAATTCGTAGTTTTACAAGTAAAACCTTTTACATTTTCTAAACCCGATTCTAGATTTAAAGCATTAGCACCATGGACCGTGTTTAACAGAAAGCAAATTAAACATAAACAACTTGCAAAATTGATCACATCAGGCAGTAATACGTTTAGTTTTGTTAAAGCAAAACTGTGTCCAGCGATTGAGCTTTTGTGTGTGTCTTGGGTAGGGCTGACTGGTGTAGCCTTAAACAGAACCTGCGGGTTTATTTTTAAACTAACCAGTTGTCAAACTTTACAGATCAGTAGGGCCTGAAATGCTTGAGAAAGTCATGCATTTATTTTGGTGCATTGCAGTTTTTGGAACATATAATATCATTGACTGATAAATTGTATATGTGATTAATTTCTAGATTGTGATTTTCATACTTCAGCCAGTTCTCAGTAAAAGTTGTTTTTTCCTGGTTCTGATACTCTGAGACTGTAGTCACCAGTGTCTCAAGGCCAAGGTCCTTGTGCTAGAGTTTGGGATAATTTTTCATGAAATTTAAAAATGTGTATAATCTTTTATAGTTGTGGTACTAACAGCTCATGTAGAAGTAAAATTAAATATTGTGCTCTGAACAGCTATACTAGATACGCTGCTACCTTTGAAAAATTATTTTTCAAAGTCCAGGGAAGTTAAAGAGAATCCCTTGACGTGGACAAGCTAGAGGTGCCCCTGCTCTCTGGTCCCGTGGGGGTGGGGGCTGGCTTCACATTGCTTAGACTGTAGGATCCCCTTCATCTGTCAAGAATGGGATGCAGGAGGCTCCTGTAAAAATCAAATCATAAAGCCAGCAGTTCAAGGTGTAGTAGAAACACCCTGCCTGTCTGGGGAGAGTGGAAATCAATTGAGCTTCTCTGGAAACCCCTGGAGTAGCTTTTCCGAGAAAAGAGAACCGTAGCTCCCCCTAGTAAGGCCTCAGAGTGGCTTGGGGCTCCTGTCTGCGGATGCTCGGAAGCAGTGTGTTTCCCTGGTAAAGCTGGAAATAAAACTTAATTGACCAGCAGCGCACAAGTAGGAAGGGAAAAGACTGCTCTAGTGAAGCAGGAAAATGCTTGCTATATATGAAATGAGAAAAGCAGTCTGCCAAAGCGTGTGCACGGGTGACTGTGATTTTATTTTCATGCGTGATTGGAAAGAGTATCCCGACATGTGGCAGTGGCCCCGTGGTGGTGGTTCTCTAAATTTCCTTTCTATTTCTGTTTTCTGATGTGAAGAAGGAGGGTTCAGTTTATAATTTAATTTTTTGAAACATGTTGTCACATTGTTTTTCCAAGTTGGCAGTGTCACGAGGTCCACGTGCTGTGGTCAGGGTGAGGGGTGAAGAGCTCAGCTTCAAGTTCGTTGTCCCGCTGCTCTTGCCGAGTTCTGATCATTATCACTGTATTTCAGTCTTACTGTATTTTAATGTCTTCTCTGTGAAAAACTGTGAATTGTGAACAAACTCTTAACACAGCCTGCAAAGCCTTGTTTTAATAGCACGCTACTTATTGAAGCTCCCATTTTTTTGCACAACTGTTTGCCTGTTATGGCTTCAGGCTGCATTGCCAAGCGTGACTTGTGTGCTTCTCTCCAGAGCCTGGCTACCCTCCTGATCACCTCCCAGGTCATTAACCAGATCCTGGAGTCTCTCCTTCCTTACTGGCTGCAAAAGAAGCACAGCATGAAGGTCAAGAGGAAGGTGCAGGCTTTAAAGGTGGACATGGATGCCTCGTTGTACAAGCAGGTCCTCCTGGAGAAGGAGATGGGGACTTACCTGGTAAGTGGAATGGTGCTGGGTTACGCATTCCTGGAGTGAATCCTTGGGAGTTGTACATGGGCCCTACAAAGGCTCTGCACTGTGTGTCAACTGTGACGACTTCTTTAGTATGTTCCAGCCAGTCTCCTCCCCAGGAGACACTTTAACGGATGGAGCTTCTAGTGTTTGTGTTTTGAGAAATCTCCATACTGATTTCCACAGTGGCTGTAGACATTTACGTTCTCATCAACAGTTGTATCAACTCAGCTCTTCCCCTTCTAGTAACTACACGAGATTATACTAAGGTTACAGTAGAGAGGTAGAGACATCATAGCACCATGGCCCTGTGCCCTTCTCTTCCTCCTCCTCCTCCTCAGCAGGGCATGCTCTGCACTCGACACCGGGGTCTTGGTAAACCTCCGTGGTCTCATTGCCTACGTCGGGTGAGTCCTCTTGGGTTACTGTTTGTCCTGGTTGCCTCTCATAGTTTTTCTACTGTGCTGAAGAATTTTGCTCTGTAAGCTCATCTTGGCTGAGAGCTGCCTTCCTCCACTGCCCACTTCTCTCTGCCTTGTCCTTCTCAGTCGTCTCTACAGAGCCTCCAGGTCCCTGGTCCACCCCCAGGGACCCGTAGCCCAGAGCTTTGCTCTCGGATGATGCTGGGAGCCCGCAGGTCTGTGCACAGAGCTGGCAGATCACTGTCCATGTACTGTTGCTCCTGGGCTCAGCCACAACCCGTGTCTGCCGCTGACACGGGCTGGGGCTGCTGTCCTCCCCTGGCCTCACTCACTGGCTGGCTCAGTTACACTGCGGGGACCAGACTGATGCTCTTGGTTCTCGCTGATTCTTGCCACTGCGAACGCCCTGGTTGTGTCCCACTTCAGCCTCTCTCACCTGCATGGCAGCTTTACTGCTTTTGCCTGATGCTCAGGTCTGTGATGAACATATCTGAATTTGCCACTCACATTTCCTACTGGTGCAGGGTTTGGGGAAAAGATTCACAGCGTACACTCAACAGCCAGCTAGATCAATGGCAGCGCTGTTGTGTTCGTGTGTGAAATATGGAAGAATAGCACACAGAGGGAGGGGAAAGCTAGGGAGCAGGGGAGCCAGGGCAGTGTCCTGGCCTGCCTGGCCAAGGGCTGCCCACTTGCAACCCCTTATGTTGAGATCCTCTCCATGTGCATGGGGGAGAGGTAGTTTGGGCCATGCTTGTTTTTTGTCCCTTGGGTCTGGTGGACACTGACCGACCCGACACTGGTCAGTGTGTTCCCTCGGGAGAGGCCTCGATTGCCTCCTGTGCCGGCTGCCCCCAGCTGTCCTGCTTGCTCCCCATTGTGGCCTCCCCGCTGTCAGCGCCCAGACCGTGTTAATCGAAGCAGGCCCTTTTCCTCTGCTGTTTGTATCCTCTCTCCTGCCTTTTAATAATTCTCCATATTTTTGTTGCTAATGGCCCTGATCCTTTTCCTGTAATCAGCATCTGCTCTTTTTCTAAAGCACTCCCACCCAAGCTCGTTCTCTACATGTCACTCAGACAGCAGGCACCTTCCCCGCTGCTTCTCACACATCAGAGAACTGGTGCCACTAAGTGATGTGGCCTGAATCCAACGCCTCTGGGGACACCTTTGTGAAGGAAGGTGAGGGTCAGGCGCGTCTGTGTTTACTGCACATGTGTAAAGACACGAGTGCTATGCTGAGGGTTGGATCCAAAGCAGACAGCGGAAGCTGGATGGCTGACTCAGGACAAAGTCTTTCTCTGTTATACCCAGGCACTCTGCCACAAAGTGGAGAAACTGGTGTCTCAGTGGCTTTTGCAGGCCCAGGGCTCCTTAACTCACCTGCGGGGTCCCCCGTGGCTGGGCAGTCTCCTGTCCTTGCCTCCTGCTGGTTCTTGCTTTCCTGTGTCCAGTGGGGCGATAGTGACATTTGCTTTCCTCTGTCTCTGCGCTTGGAGAGTGGAGGTGCTGTGGGTTTCCTGGGTGCCCTTGGTGATGATGCCCTGCGCACCTGGCCTTGTTTCTTGCTGCATTTTGCTGCACTGAAGTCAGAGTGTAGAAGTGTGTGTTCTGTACTCTCACCCTGACTGCTGTAGATCTTAAGATGATGTTACACAGCTTGGGGAAGAAGCTGTTTGGCTAAAATTTTTAAAAGACATATTATAAAAGTAATGCCTGCTTGCTCACTGTATAAACTTGGAAAACGCAGGACAAATGGGAAAAAGAAATCCTGTCACACCCTCAACGGTGACCCAATAGAGTCTTGACCCTGTCCCCAGCTCAGAGCGGGAGCTATGCAGCCCTGTGGTCCTCCCTGGCTTCACTGTTTTGTCTTGGCTCTGCTTGGCCCTGTCCAACTGCAAGGCTGCAGGAGGCTGGGTTTTTGCAGTCCAGCTCCAGCTCGAGTAGCAGATTCCTGCACCCACAGGGAGCCACCACAGAGGAAGGGGAAGCCACTCCTTGCACTTAAACATATTTGTCATTGTTGTGAAAAGTGTAATCATATCTCAAAAGATACTGTGTGTAAATTAATGTTATTATTTCTTTGCTGATTTTCTGTCTGGTTGATCTGTCCCTTTGTGTCAATGGTGTGTTAAGGTCTCATGTTACAATTGCTTTATTGCTTATTTGATTTTTCATTTCTGTTAATACTTGTTTGGTATAGATGCGTGCTCCCAAATTTGGTGCATAAATATTTAAGATTGTTATCTCTTTCTCTTGAAGTTTTCCCCTAACTAGTATGTAGTGACCTTCTTTATCTCTTTGGATCATTCTTGGTTTGAAGTTCACATTGTCTGCAAATAGAATAGCTACCCCTGCTTTTTTTTGGGGGGGGGGTTCTTGTTGCATGGAGTATTGTTTTCCATCCTTTTACTTTTTTTTTGTCTTTTTCGTCTTTATTGGTACCAGGGATTGAACTCACGACTGCCTGCTTGCAAGGCAGGCGCTTATGCTGCTGAGCTAAATCCAGCCCCCATCCTTTGACTTTCAATGTGTGAGTTTCCTTTGAGTTAGATGGTTTCTTGTAGACAGCATGTGGTTGGATGTTGTTTCTTGATCCATTCTGCCAATCTGTTTCTTTCAATTGGTGAATTGAGGCCATTTACATTAATGGTTATAACTGATATATATTGGTTTATTTTGACATGTTATCTTTCTGCTATTGCTTCTTTACCTTTCTACTCTGTTTGTCTGCCTTGCTTAGTAGTTTTTTTCCTATGTCTATCTAAGAATGTCTTTCAGTATTCTTTGCAGGGTTGGTTTGATGATCATGAAGTTCTTCAGCTGTTCTTTGTCATGGAAATATTATTTCTCCATCCATTTTGAAGGACAGTTTCTCAGTGTACATCAGTCTGGGTTGGAAATTATTTTCCTTTAGGATCTGAAATACTTCACTCCATGCTCTTCTTGACTTCATTGTTTGTGTTAAGAAATCTGTTGATTCTGATAGGTTTTCTTTTATAGATGATCTGTCTTTTCTCTCTAACAGCTTTTAATATTCTGTTCTTACATGGGATTTCTGGGCGGTTGATTATTATATATCTGTATAGTTTTATTTTGGTTATGGCTATTTGGAGTTGTATATGCTTCACTGATCTGTATGTCAGTTTCCATTCTCATTTGGGAAATTCTTAGCTATTACTTCTATAACTAGCCTCTTGATATCATTTGTGTTGTCCCTTTTTTTTTCATTTATCCCTATCAATCTTATGTTATTTTTCTTTGCATCATCTTGCAGCTGTTGAATTGTTATTTTCTGGTTCCTTGTTATTTTTAAAAGATCTTTCCTTTCCTGTTCACTCGCTGCAATCTTGTCTTTGAGGTCTGAAATTCTGTCTTCACTTTCATTGAAGTGGTTTTGGCAACTTTCAGTGGAATCTTTGATTTCCTGTGTATCTCTTTGAATCTGCTTTATGTATTCTGTTTGTTTTTTATATTGTTCATTCAGGGTTTTCATCTTTTTGCATTGTTCCTCTTAATTTTTTTAAACTATGTCTTCTTTAGATGTGTTCAGCATTTCTTTCATTACATTTATCATTTCTTCTTTTACCTAGGAGATTATTTCTGATTTGAGTTCTTTTATAGCTTCCCAGAGTTGTTTCTTTACTTCAGTTGTTATTGTTTCAGGTGGATGGTTTATATTTTGTTCTATGTACTTGGTTCCTAGGCTTGCATGGGATGGGCTGGAGGTTTGAAATTGCATTTTGGTCTTTAATTTTGTCATTTCCGGTTTCGAGTGATGTTCCAAAGTTTCCCCCAGGCTTGCTGGAAATCACCTCAGGCGCCCTTGGCCCCTGGGACTGAATGGAGGTCGCTGAGCATGGCCCAGTCAGGCCTGCAGGACCACCTGTACCTCCTCCCTCCTCGGGTGGTCTAAGATGTTGGGCAGGGTCCTAACCACTGGGAGCAATGGTCCAACCCCCCCCCCCAGCGCAAATGCACTGGAAATTACCTGGGGTGTTCCCAGCTCCCCCAACTGATTGGAGGTCGATGGGTGTGGCCCAGTCAGGCTGGCACTTACCTCCTATGCCTCCTCCTGTGGTGATTCGGGAAGCTGGGCAGGGTAAATTAATGTTATTATTTCACTGAACTAAGAAACAAAATTAAATTTCCCAAGTGTAATTTCTAAATTGGTAAATATCACTATCTAAAATCATGTAAGAATGTCTTTAACATGCTCATTAACTTTTCAGAGTTTAAATCACCACTCTGAAAGCTGCAGATGTGGGATAAGCCCCCTGCTGTGATTTCTGGGCAGGGGCCTTCCAGAGTCACTGTGTGCTTGGCTCCTTGTGAGGCTCTGGTTGGGTGGCTTTGGCAGTGGCCCTGCAGTGGAGCTACCTTGTTGGACCCCACTGTCAACTTGGTGACCAATTTTGAAGGCTCTTTTTGTGCGTTAGAATGAGTAAGTTACGGGGGTGGGGGGGAATCTCAGGACCCCTTCTGTTCCCTGCACATGGTGTCTTTTCTGATTGTGCATCGCTGGCATGTGGGAACATTGCTGAGTTCTGGATCTTTACTAGC